AGATTATGACCCGCTGCCCAAATATATTCCCGGCAGCCCCCTGGTCTTCGCTGTCGCCTCTCCCTCTACTGCTGAAAAATAAAGGCCCAAATTCACGTCTGAGCAGGAGTACACACAGACAGGATTCCACGGCACACCTGAGCATCCTCGAACTGGTACATGATATCAGCTCCAAGTACTGCCATTTTCGGGTGATGGACGTCCACTGATGAGAATCTGCAGTGTTTTGCTTTGTTTTCGCAAAATGAATTTGACTGATTTTGATCAGCATTTCTCTCTTTTTCCTCAGTAATGATGGACCTGATTAGGTCATTGGGTTTTGAGCAAGTAAAATTTCACCATTTGTTGTAGAGCATTGAATGAGGAAATCCTCTTCAAACGTTGGCAATGAGCTGTACTTGTTTGCCAAAACAAATTTTGCAATTCTGTGTAAAATGTGATGAAAGATCAAAGCTGCTCGATGCAATGCATAAACGATTTGTGATCAGCCCAGTTGCTAAGAATTGTTTACCTGGTATTTCCACTCTATAATCATTATTCTCTCTGGACTTGAAATGTTAACTCAGCTTTTGTCCAACAAGGGCTGTTAAACCTGCTGAATTTTGCCAACAAATTCGTTGTCAAGCCTGAATGGGTTGCAAGGGTCAGTTTGGATCCATTGAAAGTATGTCAGAACAATCATAAATAATTTAGATAGCATCTTTAACGTAAAGCACGCCAAAGACCTTCACTGGAGAATTACCAAGACAATTTAATATGAGTCATAGAGTCTTGCAGCACAGAAACAGACCCTTCAGTCTAAGCAGTCCATGCTGAACATAATCCCAAACTAAACTAGTCCCACCGACCTCTGCCTGGCCCACATCCCTCCAAACATTTCTCACTCATGTACTTATCTAAATGTCTTTTAAACATTGTAAATGTACTCACACCCACCACTTCCTCTGGAAGCTCATTCCACTTTCTATGTAAAAAAACCATTTGTTGCAGAGTGTTCAGTGTCCCCATGTCTTTTTTAAATCTTTCTCCTCTCACCTTAAAATATGCCCCATAGTCACAGTATCTCTGAGGGAAAAGACACTTGCCATTCATTTTATCTATACCCCTCATGACTTTATAAACCTCTATAAAGTCAACCTACAAACTCCTACATGCCAGTGAAAAATGTTCCAGCCTATCCAGCCTCTCCCCATCATTCAAACCCTCCATTTCTGGCAACATTTTGGTAAATCTCTCTTGAACCCTCTCCAGTTTAGTAATATCCTTCCTATAACAGAGTCAAAGAAAGATTTAGAATTTGTGCATCATTGTGGATGACTTCATGATCCAGGTTCTTTATTTCACTGAGGGCACATTGCATTGTTTCAGCTTTTCATTTCGATATAAAGTATTGGAGGAGAATTGGATCAATTGGCCCATCGAGTCTGCTCTGCCATTCAGTCATGGATAATATGTTTTTCAAACCCATTCTCCTGCCTTCTCCCTGTAACCCATGATTCCCTTAATAATCAAGAACCTATCTATCTCTGTCTTAAATACATTGAATGACTTGGCCCCCCACAACCTTCTTTGGCATTGAGTTCCACAGATTCACCACCCTCTGGCTGAAGAAATTCCTCCTCACCCCGGTTCTAAAGGGTCGTCCCTTCACTTTGAAACTGTGCCTTCAGGTCCTGGACTCTGAAACATCTTTTCCACATCCACTCTATTCTCGCCTTTCAATATTCTGTAAGTTTCAATCAGAACCCCCTTCGTCCTTCTAAACTGCATCAAGTAGAAACCCTAAGTCTTCAACAAATACTCATCTGACAAGCCCTTCATCCCCATTCTAGTAAATCTTATCTGGACTCCCTCAAAAGCCAACATGTCCTTCTTTAGATATGGGGCCAAAACTGCACTGAATATTCTAAATGCCGTCATATCAGAGCCTTATACAGCCTCAGCAGTACATCTCTGCTCTTGTATTCTAGCCCTCTTCACATGAATGCTAACGTTGCATTTGCCTTCTAATTGCCAATTGAACCTCCATGTCAGCCGTATGCGAATCCTGAACTAGGACTTCAGGTCTTTGTGCTTCTTTGCGTCATCTGCAAACTAAACAACAAAGCCCTCAGTTGACTTGTCCTGATCATTAATGTATAACGTGAGTAGTTGTGGTCCCAACACTAACGCCTGCAGAACTCAACTAGTCACCAGCTGCCATCCTGAAAAGACCCCTTCATTCTTATTCTTTGCCTCTGCCACTCAGCCAATCCTCTATCCATGGCAGCGCCTTGCCCATAACACCATGGGCTCTTATCTTATTTAGCAGCCTCCTGTGGGGCACCCTATCAAAAGCCTTCTGGAAATCAAAATAGATCAGGTCCACTGAGTCTCCTTTGTCTAACTTGTTAGCTTCTCAAAGAATTCTAACAGATTAGTTGGGCATGACCCCGCCTTGTCGAAGCTGTGCTGACTTAGCCCTATTTTACCGTGTACTCCCAAGTAATGTGCAATCTCATCCTTCTTAATGAACTCCAAAATCTTACCAACGACAAAGGTCAGGCTAACCAACCCAAAATTTCCTGTCTTCTACCTCCCTCCCTTATTAAAGTGGGTGTTACATTAATCATTTTCCACTCCTCTGAGACCCTCCCTGACTCCAGATCATTACCAACACCCCTACAATCCCCTCAGCTCCTTCAGACCTCTGCGGGTGTCGTCCATCTTGTCCAGGTCCAACTCAGACCTTTCAGTTTCCCCAGCACCTTCTTCTTGGTGATGGCCACTACACTCACCTCTGCCCCCTGATTCTGTTGAAGCTTCTAGTGTCTTCCGCTGTGGAGACTGATGCAAAGTACCTATTCAGTTCCTCTGCCATTTCTTTGTTCCTCAGTGCTGCTTCTCCAGCCTCATTTTCCAGCAACCCAATGTGCACTCTTGCCTCTCTCTTATCTTTTATATGTTTAAAAAAACTCTTGCAATCTTCTTTCGTATTATTAGCTAGGGTACTCTCATATTTCATCTTCTTCCCCACATTGCATTTTAGACATTCTCCGACGGTTTTTAAAGTTTTTCCAATCCTCTGGCTTCCCACATTGTGTGCTTTTTCTTTTGCTTTTCTGCTGTCAAAGACTTCCTTTGTCAGCCAAGGTCGCCTCATCCTTCTCTTAAGTATGTTTCTCCTTCCTTGAGATGAATTTCTGCTGTGCATCCTGAATTACCCACAGAAACTCCGGACATTGCTGCTTCCCTATCTTCCTGTTAGTGTCCCCTTCCAATCAACTCTGGCCAGCTCCTCCCTCATGTTTTGTAGTTATCTTTATTCAACTGTAAAACTGTTATGTGTGATTTAAGATTCACCCTCTCATACTGCAGGGTGAATTCTATCATATTATGCCATTTCCCTCGAGGGGTTCCTTCACCCTCAGCTCCCTAATCGAGATTGTCTTATTACCCATCACCAAATGCAGAATTGCCTGTTTCCAAGTGAGTTCTACCACAAGCTGCTCAAAAACGCCACCTCTTACACACACAAATTCCTTTCCATTAAATCCACTACCATTCTGATTTTCTGAGTGCACCTGTGTATTGAATCCCCCTGATTCTTACAATAGTGCCTTGCTTACACGCATTTTCTATTTCCTGATTTATTCTCCTTCCCACATCCTGACTACTACGAGGAGCCTGTACACAACTCCTGGCATGGTCTTTTTCACTTAGCGATTCCTCAACTCTATCCACAAAGATTCTATGCTTTTCAGCTCTATACCACTTCTTCCTATCAACTTAATTTAATTCTTACTAACAACGTGACCCCACCCCATGCACATTCCTTTCAATAGGACACATATCCTTGGATATTTAGTTCCCAGCTCCGATTGCCTGCCAGCTACGTTTCTGTGATACCCACGACATTGTTCTTGCCAATTTCAAGTTATGTTACAAGCTCATTTACCTTGTTTCATATACTGCATGCATTCAAGTACAACAGACTCAGTCCTGTGTTGACTGACCCCTTCTCATGTTTGCCCCCTTACCTACTAATCCTGAAGTTAGATTCGTGACCCTTTCCATACTCTCTGTCCTATTACTTGTTTGAAAAACTTTAGTAACCTCTGACGAACCCTCCCCCACTTTCACATTTTCCATACTTTTCTATGCAATTGAATCTACTCCTTCCACTCCTCCCCGCACCATTTAGTTTAAAGCCCTATCCAGAGCCCTAATTATGCAATTTACCAGAACTCTGATCCCAGTATGATTCAGGTAGACTCCATCCCATCAGAACAGCTCCCTCCTTCCCAGTGCTGGTGCTAAAGTCTGATGAATTCAAAGCCATTTCTTCAAAACCAATCTTTCAGCTGTGCGTTTACCTCTTTAATCTTCTTGTGCCAATTAATTCATGGATCAGATAGTAATCCGGGAATCATCATCTTTTTGTTTCTGCTTTCTAATTTAGCACCTAGCTGCTTGTATTCCCTCAGCAGAACCTCTTTCCTCTTTCTACCCATATCGTTGGTACTTATGTGGACCCCAACAACTGGATCTTTCCTCTCCCACTACAAGTTCTTCTGCAGCCCAGATGAAATATCCTGAACATAGGCACCAGGTAGGCACCACAGCCTTTGGGACTCTCAATCCTGGCCACAGAGAACAGAGTCTAGTCCCCTGATTATACTATCCCCGATTACACTATCCCTGATTCCTGTTGCATTTCTCTTGAATATTGAATGGTGGAGCAGGCTTGAAGGGACAAATGGCCTACTCTTGCTTAAATGTTCTATGTTTATCCAGTATTTATCCAGACTTGGGATTGCTGATACTGGGAACATAACCCATACACTGTTGTCCTCAAATAGTACACCCTGTAAAAGGGAGTTCGGAACAAGGTTCACACGAAGCAAAATCAGCAGATTTGTCAATTTCATAGGAAATGACATTCAGTAACAAACACATCCGAATTTAATAAATACATTGCAGAAGTAGACATCCTTCATCATATGATTTCTGGTAATGATCTGACTTTTACAGTACACTGCAAAACATTCTCACAGGATTTTACCCAGACCTCTTGAGTCACTTCTCTTTCAGATTCTGAATTTTCTTCTTTAAATTTCTTAATGCCTTGCAACACTCTGCCCATTTTACAGAACATCTACTGCAATTTGACAGGAGTCACACTGGACAGCACTTTGTTATTACACAAAGCTGAGCTTGTGCCAACAAACATTATAGAAACATTCTAGAAGGCTATGAGTTGTTTTTCTGTTTGTGTCTGGTACGCTAAACGGTGAAGCAAATCACTTTACAACTTACAGACAACATCAATCATCCTTTGAGAAGGTATGTATATTTAATCGACCGTTCAATCCGATCCCATTGACAGACTTTTTTTTTGCTTTTTGTGCAATATTTGTTGGAGAGTTCTGCAAATATGTTGACATTTTCTGATTTGACTTGATTTGATTTAGAGATGGTTGGTGGATCAATGATAATAAATAAGATTAAATAATTAAATATATTAGAAATGGACTGTAAAAAAGTTTGCGAAGAGAATCAAGAGAAGAAAGAAAATGTCCTTTCACTCATAAGATGATATTTTATGGCGCTGCATACTGGATCTAAAAATAAATATTTATTCAAACTGTTTTACTTCTATTCTGACCGAAACATGAGAAAAAAAGAAACTTAGGTTAATCCATGTCTTTTGTAATTCTCAATTCATCCCAGACAGCCTTACAAGAGCATTATTCCATTGAGAAAAAAACAGAATGTTGCAGATGATAGAAATAAGACAAATAAATACAAAATGCTGCAAATACTCAGCAGGTCAGGAAGCATCTGTGGAGGGATTGACAGAGTTCAAGTTTCATATTGGTGATGTTAACTTGTTTCTCTTTTCGAAAATGCTGCCTAACCTGCTGAACTCCAGCATTTTCTGTTTTTATTAAGTGTATGTACGAAGAAGGAGCAGGTATAGGCTATTTAGCCCTTCAAACCAGCTCGGCTGTTCAATAAAATCATAGCTGATCAGATAAAGTCCACAGAAAGTCTTTGTTGCATTGACAACCAAAGCTATACGCACAACAGTGAGATAAATGACCAGTTTGTGGCTTACAATTTGTATTTGAAATAACTAGGAGGCTAATGTTACTGCTGTGTTCAAAAAAAGGTTGGAATAATGGCAGGCCAGTCAGTTTAGCCTTGGTAGTGGGGATGCTTTTAGAAATCATTAATCAAGACAACCTTAACGTCACTTGGGCAAATACAGGTTAATTAAGGAAAGTCAATATGTGACTTTTTCAGGACAAATTGTATTTTACTAACTTGCTTGAGTTTTTAATAAGATAACTGAGATTAATGTAGATGACATGATGTGCAAAGTGTATGTTCCCTACACAGATGAAGTGCGCTGTCATAGGAACTAACTGCTGAGATCCAGCTGCATATGCAAGTTGCACTCTGACAAATGGAGTTTAATTTGGATAAATGTGACGTGTTGCATTTTCATGAAACAAACCAGGGCAGAACTAATATGTTAATGGTAAGGCCCTGGGTAGTATTGTCAAACAGGGAGACCAGAGGTTTAGGTACTTAGCTCTTTGTAAGTTACATCGAAGGTAGTCAGAGTGGTTGAGAAGGCGTTTAGCATGCTTGCTTTCATTGCTCATACACTGAGTGCAGGAATTGGGACATCATGTTGAGGCTGTGCAGGACCTAGGTGAGGCCACTTTTGGAGTAATGTGTACAGTTCTGGTCGCCCTGCTACAGGAAGGATATTATTAAATTGGAGACAGTTCAGAAAAGATTTACCAGGATGTTGCCGGGGCTGAAGGGTTTGGGTTATAGGATAGGCTGGGATTTTTTCACTGGAGTGTCAGAGGTTGAGGGGTGACCTTATAGAGTTTTATAGATAAGATGAATGGCAAAGGTCTTTTCCCTAGTGTGGGGGGGTTCAAAACTAGAGGGCATTTGTTTAAGGTGGGAGGTGAAAGATTTAAAAGGGATGTGAGGGGCAACTTTTTCACACAGATGATAGTTCGTATGTGGAATGAATTGCCAGAGGAAATGGTAACTGCAGTTAGTTAAAACATTTAAAATACATTTGGTCAGATACGTGGATAGGAAAGGTTTGAAGCGATATGGGCCAAACACAAGCAAGTAGAACTAGTTTAGTCTGGGAAACCTGGTCGGCGTAGACGAGTTGGACAAATTAGTCTGTTTCTGTGCTGTATGACTCTATGAATCTATGACCCTATTAAACTTCATCTATCACTACTCAGCCTATTTGCCTGATTTATCAAGATCCTTGAGTAATCTTAGATAATATCCTTCACTGTCAACTACGTCACCAATTTTGGTGTCATCTGAAAACTTACAAACCATTCCTCCTAAATTCTCATCCAAATGTAATTGACAAGCAATGGTGGACCCAGCACCAATTCCTGTGGAACACCACTGGTCACAGGACTCCGGTCCAAAATACAACCCTCCACCATCACCCTCTGTCTCCCACCATCAAGCCAATTTTGTATCCAATTGACAAGCTCTCCCTGAATCCCATGTGATCTAACTTTGTTGGGGTAGTATATTAGCATGCATAGAGATTGGTTGACTCAAAGAAAACTGAGAGTCAGCATAAGGGGGGGCTTTTTCAGGTTCAGAACCTGTGACAAGTGGTGTTCCATAGACATCAGTGTTGGGGCCACAATTATTTACAATATTATTGACCTGAGTGAAGAAAGGGAATGTACTAAAGTCAAGTTTAGGGATGGCATGAAGAATTTGTTGTGGAATATTAGTTAAGTGAGTCAGCAAAAACTTGACAGATGGAATATAATGTAGGAAAATGTGAGGTTATGCACTTTTGCAGGAAGAATTGTGGGGTGAATATTAATCAAATGGGGAAAGACTGTAGAAGGCTATAGCACAGAGCGATTCGGGAGTCCTCATCCATGAATCACCAAAAGCTTGCACTCCAAGTTCAGCAGATAATTGAGAAGGCAAATGTAAGGCTGGCCTTAATTTCAAAGGAATGGAACATAAAAATAAGGAGGTCTTGTAGACTGGGATTGGAGGTAGTTCAGAGAAGGTTCACTACGTGGGTCCTGGGATAGAAGGGACTGTCTTATGAGGAGAGGCTCAGTAGGTTGGTCCTGTACTCATTGGAGTTTAGAAGAGTGAGACGTGACCTTAATGAAACATACAAGAATCTTAGGAGAATAGACTGAGTAGATGCAGCAAGATTGTTTCTCCTTGTGGGAGAGTCTAGAACCAGAGGGCATAATCTCAGAATAAAGGGTCACTCATTTAAGACAGAAATGAGGAGCAATTTCTTCTCTCAGAAGGAAGTGAATCTGTGGAATTCTTTACCACAGAGGGCTGTTGAGGCTGAGCCATTTAGTCTATTCCAGGGTGAAATAGATAGGTTTTTAATCAGTAAGGGAATTAAAGGTTATGGGGAAAAGGCAGAAAAGCGGAGTTGAGCATTATCAGCCAGGATTTTCTTGAATGGTGGAGCTTGATGGGCTGATGGCCAAATTCTGTTCCGATGTCTTATGGTCTTAGTATTGATAATGCCTTCCATCACCTTACTGATGATCAAGAGTAGGCCAATGGTGCAGTACCAAAATCAGAAATTGCTGGAAAAGCTCAGCAGATCTGTCAGCATCTGTGGAGGAAAAGCAGAGTTGATGTTTTGGGTCCAGTGACCCTTCTTCAGAATAGTTCTTCTGACCTGTTCTGAGAAAAGTTCACTGGACCTGAAAAGTTAACTCAGATTTCTCTCCGCAGATGCTGTCAGACCTGCTGAGTTTTTCCAGCAATTTCTGATTTTGTTTTGGATTTCCAGTATCCATAGTTCTTTGGTTTTCTGATGGGGCAGTAATTGGTCAGGTTGGATTTGTCCTGCTTTTTGTGTACAAGACATACCTATGCAATTTCCACATTGTTGGGTAGATACCAGTATTTTCGCTGTGCTGGAACAGCTTAGCTAAGGGAGCAGCAAGTTCTGAAGCATAAGTCTTCAGTATCATTGTCAGAATGTTGTCAGGACCCATAGCCTTTGCAGTATTTAGTATCTCCAGCTCCTTCTTTATTTCATGAGGAGTGATTCAAATTTACTGAAGTGCTGAGGATATCTAGATGAGGCAGAGAAGGATTATCCACTTGATATTTCTGGTTGAAGATTGCTGGGAATGCTTCAGCTTTTGCACTGTGGTGTTGGGTCCCCCCATTATTGAGGATGGGGATATTTGTACTCCCAGAGAAACTCCCCTCACAATTGTACACCACTGTATCACCACCTCTGCTGGGTCTGACCTGCTGGTGGTACAGGATATATCCAGAGATTGGGATGGGACTGTCTGACACATTATGTATCAAGTAAGTTTCTGTGGGTATGTTTCTGTTGCTTTAAGTGTCTGTGAGACAAACAACATTAGGAATCAGCAGAGTCAGCTGAGGTTTCTAAACACAAATATAGAGCACATCATTCTGACCAAATGACCTTGGAGGTAAACAACAGCCCTTTATGCGTACTACCACAAGACCCAAACTCTTTTAAAATCATGCATGCCATGCGGGTAAATAAATGCACAAAAGTGGAGCTAACTAGAATGTGTGACCAATTGTTTGTACAGAGAGTAACCTACGAGCATTCGTTATAAATTATAGAGTATGTAAAGTTGCATCCTTGTTAGCTATGAAAATGGAGATGTTTAGATAGAAATGTAGAAATATCCTTGTTAATTTATCGTAGTCATGCGATTTCTTCCATGTGGCACACTCACTGCAGGCAACCATTTTACAGTTAGCATAAAATCTCAGTACAAGAACATTGTACTTCCTTAACCCATAATAACAACCGCCTGGATATTGCTCTCAAGCCACACACTATCCTGACCTGGACGTATATTGAAATAACTCCTTACAGGCTGGTATCCCGTTACCAGGTCACTCTTTCTTTACACGTGGAGAGTCCTTGACACTTCTCCAACCTCCTCGGAGACTGCCCTCAAGACTGAACAGAACCTCGAAAGCTCCTGTTTACATCTGTCAGCCAGGGCCACATTAACAGCCCCAGTCAGGGAACTCATATTCTATGAGGTCCACTTAGCTGACTTTGTTATAATCGCTACATATAGCAATGCTATTGGCAGCTAGAATGTTGTCAGGGCCCTTGGCTTTTGTAGAATCCAGTGCCTTCAGCCAGTTTGAGACATCAAAAGGTGTGATTCAATTTGCTGAAGATTGAGATCTATGGTACTAGGGACCTCAGAGCATAACAGCTAATACAAAGAGAATGCATTGCCCCATTGTCCGGTGTGTCACAAGTGTATCTACAATATGTCTGCACTGGCATACTTATCAACATGGTATCATACAGCCATGACAAAAGTGATGATTGTGGTGTCAGCCTCTCAGGATGATTTGATGTCTGCTCTGTGCATCAATACCATGTGGATCATGGTGACATTCTCTCCTAAACACTCACATCTGAACAGATACCCACCCATTACCCCAGTAATAAACATGAGTGATCTTTAAAGGGCCAGCTATTGAACCTGTAACTGAGGTGCTTTTGTCTCACTTTCACTCTTGCGAAGTTTGTGCTGGTGACTTGTTGAATTTGCTCAACCTGACAAGGAGGGAGAGGAGGTTTTCTTCCCTGTTTCTGGAAAGTCTGCAAATGATCTGAGGGCTAAAGTTGACTAAGAGCAAAATCTTGGCCTGAAAACATGATGGCCGATCACAGTGAAGAGAGGGAAAGCTGTGTGCAGAGGTGTTTACATTTGGTGTTCAAGTTATCTCTTGCTAACATGAGTCAGCTGTCAGTATTGAAATATGGACATCAGATAAGGATACATGGTCACAACTATAGGAAGCTCCTGATAATTGGTGGTGTAAATTGGGGTAAAGCTCATTAAGATCATGTTTACTAATGTCATGGGAAAGATACTGAAATATATATCTCCGAGAAAAAGTGCAGTCAGCAATGAACCCTTTGTGCAACACTTCTGCTTCAATAAATGTAACCCAGACTTTTCTTTCTGTCTATGAACCCATTTTCTTTTCAAACTAGTGTTTCCTTCCATTTAATACGTTTGAAATTTACATTTAGCCTCTTATAAAAACCCATATACTGCAATGCATTTTGTTTATGTAGCTGATCATTCACTACATCAAAAATCTCTAGTAACGTTTGTCAAATAGGACAAGTCAAACTCGTCATTCTCGATCAGCACATTCCTTTTCTAATTCTCACCAACAATAATTAGGATTTCAGATAAAGAATTTGCGGTCAGCCTGAATCACATATCCTTTGCAGCATTTTTCAAAATGATGTTTGAATTAATGTTTGAATTGGTTTTATTCTCAATTATTGATCTGCTTTTTGTTTCTTTCAGAAATGGAAAACGTAGCCTTTAATTTGTATGATATGAACTTCAGTGATATGTTTGAAAACTACAGCAGTGACTGGTACTCTTACATTGAGCCTGACATAAGGCCCTGCACCCTCGTAATTAGTGGCAATTGGATCAACATGGCTCTGGCTGGTATCTATAGCCTGGTGTGCTTCCTCGCTGTGACAGGGAACATTATTGTAATGATTGTTCTACTTTATCATCAACGTACCATATCATCCACAGACACCTACCTGCTACATCTGGCAGTGGCTGATTTGCTCTTTGCTGTGACCTTGCCTTTTTGGGCAGTGGATGCCGTATCTGGCTGGATGTTTGGTGATGCCATGTGTAAAATTATCAGCATGTTACAGGAGATTAACTTCTACAGTGGGATTTTATTGCTGGCTTGTATCAGTATTGATCGTTTTCTGTCCATTGTCTACGCTACACAGACCCACAAGCAGAAGAGACCATTTATATCTCAGCTGGTTTGTGCTGCTGTTTGGTTGATGGCTTTTGTCTTGTCTTTACCAGTTTTATACAAAGGTGAATTTACTCCACCTGGTTCCACAAGACAGATGTGTTATGAGATGCTTGTTGGGGAATTAGCTGAAAGGTGGAGAATAGTCACCAGATTTTTGCGGCATTTTATTGGGTTTGTCATCCCTCTCGCCATCATGATTTTCTGTTACAGTGTGACAATCCAGAAACTGTTTCAAACGAAGGGATCACAGAAATATAAAGCCATGAAAGTCATCATCGTGGTGGTGGTGGCTTTTCTCATTTGTTGGTTCCCACACAATATTACTGTGTTCTTCGACACACTGATGAGGAGCCAACTCATTGCTGAGACTTGTGAGAAGCGTAATCATATTGACCGAACTCTATTGGGAACTCGAAGTTTGGGATTCCTGCACAGCTGCATTAATCCAATTTTATATGCATTCATCGGGGTGAAATTCAGGACGAATCTGCACAAAATTTTGGAGAGTAAAGGAATTATTAAACAAAGAAGAATGGCACAATATAGGAGATCTGTATCTTTCTCCTCTGAAGTTGGACTAATTTCAAGCAACATATAGAACCTTTGTGATCAGGTTACTGCAACCAATCAGTAAGATACCAAGTATAAATAAATAAAGTGAATGGACTGAGCTATCCAAGACTCAACAGTAACGATGCTGTGCAGTGTTCAGAAATGATCAGAATAAATTGGCATATCCTGCATGGTTTATTGTTTTAATATCAAATGTGTAATACTTAGAAATAAGGCTTACCTCTTTCCAGTGTAGGAGTTCTGGACCTGATGGTGCACCAATCTCCATTGCATATTCTGATTAATTTTTAAAAAAATTTAATTGATAGGGTGTGGATGGCACTGGCTAGCATTTATTACCTGCTGCTGGAAATTCATTCCATACACGAAGCACTCTGTGTAAAACAATTGCCCGCATGTGTTATTAAGATCTTTCTCCACTCACTTTAATTGTCCAGAGGCTGGTTAAGAGTCATCCACATTGCAGTGATTCTGCAGTCAGATGTAGACCAGACCAGATAAGGATAGCAAATTGCGTTCTCAGAAGGGAACTTTCTTAAGCCAAGAACAAATTAATGTGAATACTGGATGTTGAAAATAGACACAGAGAAAACTGGAAATTCTCAGCATGTCTAGCAGCAATCATGTTCTGAAGAAATGTCATCAACCTGAAATGGTAACTCTGTGTTACTCTATTGTGATGAAACGTGTATAGTGCATTATATTTTGAGTTTTTTTTTAGAAATAGAGGGCAAATGGATATGGATAAGTTCTGAGAATTAAGTATTTTGAAGCAGGTCAGAAGTTATTTTCTTCAGCATTGAGTCATAGAATCATATAACATGGAACCAGACCCTTCAATCAAACCAGTCCATGCCAACCATAATCCAAAATTAAACTGGTCCCACCTGCCTGTGCTTGTCCCATATCCCTCTGAACCTTTCTTATTCATGTACTTATCTAAACGTTTTTTAAATATTGTAACTGTACCTGCATCCCTCACTTCCTCTGGAAGTTCATTCCATACATGAACCACTCTGTGTGAAACAATTGCCCGCATATGTTTTTTAAATCTTTCTCCTCTCACCTTAAAATTATGCTCTCAAGTCTTGAAATATCCCACCCTTGGGAAAATAAACCTGCCATTCACCTTATCTGTACCACTCATGACTTTATAAACCTTTGTACAGTCACCACTCAACACCCTATGCTTAAGTGAAAAAAGTCCCAGCCTATCTTTGTAACTCAAACCTTCCATTCCTGGTAACATCCTGGTAAATCTCTTCTTAACCCTCTCCAGCTTAATAATATCCTTCCTATAACTGGGTGACCAGAACTGGACACAGTACTCCAGAAGAAGCCTCACCAATATCCTGCACAAACTCAACAGAACATTCTACATGTAAATCATTTGTATAAATGACAAGCAAAAGTCAGCCCAAAACCGATCCCTGCGTAACACCACAATTTCCTCCCCAACTTCCCAACATGTCTTCCCAGAGATTTATCCACTTTTATATTTTAATAAAACCTCCAGAACTTCCTCTTCAGTAATGTGAACTGTTTTCAAAACATCGATATTTATTGCCTTGAGTTCTCGATCCTCCATTTCTTTCTCCACAGTAAAAATTGCAATGAAATACTCATTGAATATCTCTCCTTTCTCCTGAGGTTCAACACAAAGATGATCTCTTTGATTTTTAAGGGGCCTTACTCCCTCTCAAGCTGCTCTCTTGATCTTAATGTACTTGTAGAATCTCTTTAGATTATCCTTAACCTTAATTGCCAAGGCTATCTCAAGTCCTCTCTTCGCCTTCCTGATCTTCCTCTTAGGAATGCTCCTACACTCTCTACACTGTTTGAGAGATTCATTTGAACCCAGTTGTTTATAACCAATATAAGATTCTTCTTTATTCTTGACTAGAACTTCGATATTCATCCACTGTTCTTTAAACCTACCCGCAACCTAAATGCATCAATTTTAAAAAAGCATGTCAGTGGAGGCGATAGTCTACTGGTATTATTGCTGGACTGTTAATCCAAAGACACAGATAATGTTCTGGGGACACTGGTTTGAATTTGAATTCAATAAAAATCTGGAATTAAGAGTCTCATGATGACCTTGAAAGCGTGCCCGAATGTTGGAAAACCCATCTGGTTCATAATGTCCTTCAGGGAAGGAAACTGCCATCCTTACCTGGTCTGGTCTATATGTGACTCTGGACCCACAACAATGTGGTTGACTCTGAACTGCTCTCTGGGCAATTAGGGATGGGCAATAAATGCTGGCCTAGTCAGCAATGTCCTCATCAAGTGCCTGAGCAAGGTCTGTAAGTGCTAATTATGAAATATTTCAACCGCTGAGCTTACACCGGGCAAAAATATCCATTAGTTTTGTTTTGACTTCAGAATAGAAGGTTCAAGGTGTCCGTTCATAAGAATGAGGACTTCAGGTCATATGGGAAAACAATTTCTCTGAAAGGAGTTTAAGGGAATGAGTGACCCGAGCCAAAGTGTTTGAATTTATGAATCTTCCAAGCAAGGTGAAATTGGACAGAAATCTTCAAGTTGTTAGAACAGAAAAAAGCTTAGGATGTCAGAACTATGAGAGGTCCTTGTTAGTGGAAAGAAATTGTAAAATTGTCTCTGCAGTCCAAGCAAGGGAAACTGTGATGGGTTGGTTAAAATTAAAAGGAAGCTTGAGATAAGAGCAAAATTTCTTTGGAATTGAATATCTGTTACAGGATAGTTTTGGGGAACAGGGTGAAGCTTTGATTTACTGCATTTGTTAAGATTTTTCTAACTGTCTTATAAATATATATCTTTTCTCTTTTGTGCAATAAACTTATGTCTTGTTGTTAAAGAACATCTGTAGTCTCGTGTGAAAATGTTTCATTAACTATCCACCATGGCATAAATCTCTACCTAACTGTACTAGGTAAAACGCAAAGCCACTAGCACTCACTCTTTACAAACACATAAAGACAGACACACACAAAAAAACTGGATGCTATAGGTGGAGTGAAAGACTGCAAAGACATTGTCCACTTGATTTGCTGAGCTGATCTCTCTGTTGATTGGAATACTATTTCTCAACCTTTCACTTTTTTGCAGGAGGCACAGGATGACTAGTTCAACTTATAAAGGTCTCTGTTATATTGTGCAAAAGTCAGAGCTAACATTAAGTTAGCAAAAGTCAGCCCAAAACCGATCCCTGCGTAACACCACAATTTCCTCCCCAACTTCCCAAAATGTCTTCCCAGAGATTTATCCACTTTTATATTTTAATAAAACCTCCAGAACTTCCTCTTCAGTAATGTGAACTGTTTTCAAAACATCGATATTTATTGCCTTGAGTTCTCTATCCTCCATTTCTTTCTCCACAATAAAAATTGCAATGAAATACTCATTGAATATCTCTCCTTTCTCCTGGACATAAATTAGCTCTCTTCAGGTCTAAGATACTCTTTTTTGCAGAACATAAACAGTTCCTTCCCTCCAGAGGTCTGATTGCTTCTGCCTGAACACTCGAACATTGAAGCTTTTCACCTCCTGGCGAGACATTCAATCATTGTTGCCAGGCAGGAGGAGTTTATCACTGGGGGTAACTGTTCACTAATGCCCAGACCAATCACCTCCTCATTTCCAGCTGAATCACTATTTGTGAACAGATTCCTGGCTCCAGCTGGTCTGTAACTAGGCCATTTCCCACTGCTTGAACCAGCAGCTGTGTAAACAGCACTTACAATGAGGCTCAGGGAAGTTGCTTTCACAAAGTGCAGCAATCCTACAATAATTCTTGGTTTTTAAACCAGTTCTTTTCTCCATTTCATTCCACAATCAAAATTAGCAGAAAAATTAAAAAGATCCAGTCTTTAACAACATCAAGATGGTGGCAATGTAAGACGCTCCAGCTGGAGTTTCTCTGCTTGCTGGACCTTTTGCCTTTCTGTTTCTTTTTTCCCTCTTTCCTGCAGTTTTTGTTCACCCCCAAATTTTATCCTCTTAAACTGCCCGACCTGGAACGGAAAATAGAGTCTGGAGGCGAGTCCCAGAAGCAAGTTGCAGCCGGAGTGGGGAGCATCCGGAGTGGGGAGCATCCGGAGTGGGGAGCAGCCAGAGTGGGGAGCAGCCGGAGTGGGGAGCAGCCGGAGTGGGGAGCATCCGGAGTGGGGAGCAGCTGGAATGGGGAGCATCCGGAGTGGAGAGTAGCCAGAGTGGGGAGCAGCCGGAGTGGGGAGCATCCGGAGTGGGGAGCATCCGGAGCGGGGAGCAGCTGGAATGGGGAGCAGCTGGAATGGGGAGCATCCGGAGTGGGGAGCATCCGGAGTGGGGAGCAGCCGGAGTGGGGAGCA